ATTTTGATGTAGGAATTAGGTTGTTGCTCATCTTGTACCTTCTTGCTCATATTATTGACAGTACCACTGAACTGCTTGAGGCAGATAGCATCTCAGTGATCACTGTGCTATTTCAGCTCTCCACCGCTGACAACATCAGAAGTGTTTTAACAGGGTTTTAATGGGCAGCCTCTGTAGCTCCTTGGAGGCTTGCAAATAGCTGCTGTGAAAAACCTTTTCTGCCGCTCTGAGCTGACGTGCCCTCCTTTTCTCATCCAGCTGCTGCTTGTTTACGTGGCTGCAGCGCTGTTCACAAGCACTTCTTATTTGGGCCGGGCACTGTGGAGATGGTGCAAGTTAAGTTCCTGCACCTTTTGGGTGAGCTGTGAAGAATAACAACGTGGTTGTGAAACCGCTGGGAAGAGCGGCGCGATGAGACGGCGACCCAGACTCTGTTCAGAAATCCCCTCTGCTCGCTCCTTCAGTGAGTGATCGTACAAGTTGCACTACTGTACAATACAGAGCTTGCTTCTGTGTTTGGTCGCTCACGACGTGTTTCTGATGATACCCCAGAGCGAGGCCTAATGATTTTGAAGGAAACAACCTTTATTTTTTTAGCAGAAAACGAAAGAAGAAGGATAAAATAAATCACTGTTTCTCAAGACAAAGCGTTAATTTGATAGCTGAGTGGTTGCCTTGCTCTGCTTGTTACCAGAAATGAGGCTCTGAGCACAGCTTTCTTTGGACGACGTAAAAGCTTTCTCCTCCCCGTTTTGCTTAATATAACTATAATGTGCCCTTTATCACACTTCAGCTTGAGTAATCCCAGTTTAGAAATAGTGCATAATACCCATGGGAAAAAGCACTAGAAACGTACATTATAAAAAACATACAGATGAAGCTCAAAAGATCCACTGACATGTAAATTTAATTTTAAAATTATAGGTTTTCAATGAGGGCTTGTGTCTTCAATTTACCAGTTTCCATGACTTTTTCAGAAAGTGTTTCTTTTTGCATTCTTGGTGGAAAACACGCTGAGGGATATTACAGTCCCCCAGAAAAGTATCTATTCTGTCACAGAAAAAAAAAAAAAAAATACCCAAAATATGTACACTCAAACTAAGTAAGAAAAATATCCACTTTCCTGTTTTGTTTTCTTTCCATCCTCTTTCACGAAAGTTAAACTTCCCAGTAACCAGCACTGCATGAAAACGCATGTCCTAACTGTGTGAATAAGCCGCCTTTTCATTGCATGTGCAATTTTAAGGTATTTCAGTTCTTTCTACAAAAGACGTGCGAGATTGGATAAAAGAAGTAAAATGGCAAGTGGGCAAGCAGAAGAAGAGCCAAGGGCCAGTGGAAGAGGCAGCCTGTAAATATAAATAGGGCTCATTATGTAAAGCGTCGCTGTTCAAGGATTCTGGCTTAAGTAAGAGAATCCCAAAGTCTTCTTGAAAATCTTAGGAATCGCTCCATCTACTGCATGTTTAAAGGAAGAAATCCCCAGCAAGGAATCCCCACCTTCCCTGGCGGGATTTCCCGGGGCTGGGAGCGCCCGGCGGAGCGGCCCCGGGGTTGGGGCCGTCGCAGCTGGCGATTGCGGGGAAATGCACAAACGTGCTAAATCCAGAGATTCTCCTCCACGTCCTCGGTCTGAAATCCGAAGTGAAAAGTCAAACTTGAATCGCTGGGCTACTAAAACTTAAAAGGAAAATCGACAGATCTTTGAAACTTGCCAGGATTAAATGCTTTTCTTAACTCTGTTCATCTATCTGTTCTGCTTTCAGCAAACCCGAGCACAAGCTGAACTACTTAAGTATCAATATATTATAAAAGCTACTTCTGCTTAATACCCATTATTTCAGTTTTTAATGCAGTAAAGGCAATGGCTTTTGTGGTGTTTTATTAAGTCCAAAGCAGCTGTTCAAAGGACCAAATCCTTAGGTGAAAGGAGAGAGAAAAACCTCTTTTTCATGGAATTTCAGCCCGTCGGTACGTGGAGGAGCCATTAAGAGCAGAGCTCTGGCTTTCACGCTTTTTTCTGCCTTCAAGCTTGTGGGTTCTGCTGTGAGTTGCAGCACTGAAAACCACTGTGGTTTTCATTTCTCTAACTTAATTAATAAAAATAATTCATCAGTAGCTGATGTCTTTCAGAGTGGTTTTCCCTGAGTCAGCTTACTGGGGAAGAGGTTCATGATAAATTATAATTAGCAAAAAAAAAAAAAAAAAAAAATAGTCAGAATAAAACTTCTGATGTGGTGGACTTCCCTTAACGTACTGTCTCAGCCTAGTTTATTTGAAGAAACTTGTAGCCAAAATGCTGTAAACTAGTTTATATACTTTAACTGCTTTTTTTCGTTTTATACATCGGACAAAGCGCTTCATGAGCAAGACCAGAACTTGCCTGGGGATTATCTGTTTGAAATTCCAGAAGTTATTATCAAAACAGCAGTTCCTAAGATGTGCTAACCTCGTATTTGGAGTTACAGAATTAGCAGTATTTGTTTGACAGCACACTTTCTGTGGGAGAGCTTTCTAATGGGCCGTACGCTCACGTGAGGTTTTCCAGGCTGCATACATCCTGCCCCTGTGCAGCTTACGCCACCCCTGGGTTAGGTACCTACATACCTGCTCCTTAATGCCCCGAGACAGTCGTCTCCCAGCGGCCTCGTGTACCCGGCGTGTCACCAGCTGCAGAGCTGTTACCAAGCCCTGGGCGTGCTGGTCCCCGCGCTGCTCCTCCCCTCCCCACCTCGCCTCCCGCGGCCGCGGCGCGCTCCGAGGCGGTGCTGATGCTGTGCTGCTCCTTGCTGCTGGGCTTCAGCTTGATTAAGGGAAAAAAAAAAAAAAAAAAAAAAAAAAAAAAGAAAAGGGAGAGGGTGCTGATTCCAGTTTCTCATTATGCGTGGTGTTTGTCACCTTTGTTGGTCCGGTCGACGCTTTGAAGTTAGTCTTGCGTTAGTGTTGTGCCTTAGGCGACATTGTTTATCACTTCCCTGTTCGTGTTATTTCACTTGCTTTTATGTTCACTTCTATTTTGTAGTTTTGTTCTGCCAATTTGGGTATAATTGTATGAAACTTTGCTTTTGGTTGTCTCCTGTAACTTTATCTTACAGGAGCCATCCTCTCCCACGCAGAAAGACACTCGTGTAAATAAAAGGCATTGGACTAGCCTTGTTATTACAGAGTTTTCCGTTAACAAAAATGAAACATTTTTAATCTTGTTTCTTAACGTGTCGTAAACAAGGCCAAAACCAATTGGAGATCAGAGCCATGTTCATTCTGAAGGGTGAATCTCACGTAGTTCCACATCTGCATCCGGGTGCATTAGGTGATTTCAGTAGGTATGTAACGACCTGCCCATCCGCGCGGGTTTGGGCGGCAGCAAGATCCATACGGAGGGATTTAAAGTATGGCTGCATCGCTACAGCTTTCTGTTTCTTTAACATCATGGAACAGAAAAGAGTGTTCGATGGCACAGCTTATGTCACTACTTGAATTCTTTTTGCCTCCTTTCCTTTATTTCCACTTAGCTCTTGAGTGGCTCCCCCAAGCCCTCACACCCAGCTCTGCCCTTTCCCTCCGAGATCGGAAGGCGGTGGGGGAGGACGGGGACGGCTGGTGCTGCTCTGCGGGGCTCAGCAGAAGATTCCAGCTGCCAGTTGCTGGTCCCTTTTTCTCTGGCCTGATGGTTGTAGATGTAAAACAAATATATTTTATCCTGCCTATCTAAGGACAGGCAAGGTACTGCAGAGCCAACAAAGGGCACTTCTTTGCATCGGGGTTGAAGAGTTTCCCTACAACTAGACCCTATGTGTAACGCTAATTCACCTGAAATAATTTCTAAAATTTCCTTACATAGCATGTGCTTCTTCAGCAAACGTAAGCTGCAAGGTCTTAATTAAAAAGAAAAAAAACAAACCAAAAAAACAAACAAACAAACAAACAAAAAAAGTCTCTGATGCTTCCCTGCGGGGTCCCGTGCATTAGTTGTGAGATTCACGTGCTGTCCTGGAGCATCTCCAGCATTCGCCGTGCGGGGCGTGGGGCATCGCCTGTGGTGCAGGGAGCCCAGGCAACGGCCACGCTGCGACAGGACAAAGCTGAGACGCCGGTTCGTGCTTTGCAGTATCCGTTTGTATTGATGGCCTGATTCTGAAGGGTATCAAATGTATAAAATATGTATGTTTCAATGATGTATTTGAATCTTAAAGTCACTCCACTGTTAATGTGCTTTTAAGAGTTTTCTTGACGATGTGCTTAGGTAGGAACAAGTTGGGCTTGTAGAAATGTGTAGGGAAGTCAAAATTTAGGATGCCAGGTGGGCTCGAGCTTCTTCAGGCGGGTTTTGCAGCAGGAGGAGGCAGGGCTGGAGCGTGGCTGCCTTCTGCCCCTGCCCCTCCATGGCCGTGGCAACTTCCCCACCAGTTATTTTGCCTCTGACTAGAGCTAGCCCTGGGGCAGTCAGGTATAGAATATAGATGTTAGTAGATACTTGATTAATGGCTTTGATTTCTGGCTTTGGCAGAGGAGAGCTTGTGCCTGCTCACGGGGGAGCCTCTGCCATTGCTGCGTATTCTTCGGTGACTGGAGATAAGGCAACTCATCTTGCACATATTTGAAGTCACATGCTGCAGAGGTTTTTAGGCAAATTTTGTTTAAGTAACTGTCAGATGAAAACTATCAAAGCTCAGTTTTGTTCCTGTAAGTCTCATAATATTCGTCATAGGTTAACGGGGATGAAAGCAGTCATGTGTAGCAAAGCCACACGGCTTGGGCTCTTGCGTTCAGGAATTTAGAGGGAAATGAGTATCATCTCTTTCATTTACTTTCATTACTGTGTCTTCCTTTATTTCCATGCGCTGAGGTCTGGCAGTCGTGGAGCTAGCCAGATCATTTCTAAAATGCAATATTTACCCTATGCCACTTATTGCAAGTCTGCATCCTCAGTGACAGAATTGATTCAGTTGGTGCTGCTGCACTTTTAATGTTACCTTTTATGTTCATGTTTGTTCCAACAGAGTGGCCACTAGCACAGACGACTTGAACTTGTATCACCCGCAAACTGACAACGCTGGAGCCACCAGTTTGTCATTATCCCTGCTAGAGTATCTGATTTAATTTTGTGACAGTGGATTAATTCTTAAAATTGCAGTGCTTTTTGCTCGTTAATGGTCAGTAAATGATTCGAGGGGGGAGGGGGGAAGGGAGGGGAATGGAATTCATCAGTTTTGTAGTCGTTTTAATTCTTCTAGTTTTAAGTTGTTCTATAAATATGTCTTTATGGATGTAGTTTTACTAGCTTAAAAACATCTAATTGGAAACAGTTGCTTAAATCTCTTTGGATCAAGAAGGCAGTAATAAGCAAAGAGAGTATCTTATCCCTACAATCCAGAAATGCTTAGTGACTGGTATACTTGGTGCATGTGTAATCAGCTTCTTGTTTCATCTAAAAACCTTAGCTCTTTTGGTGTGATTTAGTACTTCACCAGCAGCATGGTTTTTCTTGTCTCTGAGATTATCAACTGGTGAAACAAAATATAAGGCAAAATGGCATAACATACAAAAAATATTTTTTAAAATATTTAATTAATTTATGTCATCTTTTAGTGTGTATAATGTGTTCTGGAATATCACCAGGCTTCTGAGAAAAAAAGCATTAGATTTGCCTTCTTGTAAATTAACGTTTTGTTGCACATTATGTAATGTTATGACTCAAGGTTTGCATCAGGCAGGACTGATCTCTGCTATTTTGTAAGGTACCCAGCAGATGAACCCGTAGCTCTTAGATGAGATCAGCCTGCGCATTTACTTATTGACGCTGCTTGTGATTCCAAAACCAATGAGCTCCAAGGGATAAAAACTTGGACATGCATACCTTTGCTTTCTGAAATAGCTAAATTCTATGGGTTTGGGTTTGGTGAGGGGGTTGTTGCTGTGATTTGGGTTTGGTTCCTTATCAGCTGTTTGTTTAATGTCAGAAACTTAGGTCCTTTCTAGCTTATGAGATGTAATGACTGTAGATCCCATGCACGATACTGAGATACTTCGGTTATTTGAAACCCTCTAGCTTATGTTGGTAATACATTTAAAGAAAAATTATTGATGATCACTCTAGTTGTTGGCCTTTTTTTAAAGGCTTACACCTGCATCCCTCTGGCTTGAAGCATAGTACCATTTTCCAAAGTGATCCTCAGAAAGTGTCCTACCAAACCTCAGAAGTCTAGAAATGATACGTGGCTCATTTCCAATCTGGGGAGCAAGGAAAAGAAAGCCAGTCTGTGCTGGTGGAGAGGGAATGCAAAACCACAAATCTTTCTCCCTGCAAGTGGGAAGTGAAACACGTTCACGTACACAATCCTCAGTGATTATTTCTTTGAACACCTGTGTTCATTCGTATGGCTAGGACTGTTCACATGGGGTCAGTTATCACATCTCATTCAGAGTCATAATTAATGGTAATTTCATAAATGTCAAGTATTCATTTAGCTGTGCCCTAGATTGCATGCATCTTATTCCTTCTTGTTTAAACTGGCAAACTGTGATACGGACTTTCATGGGAAACCTACATTGCTCAGAAAGTTTTGTCATTTTCCTTTTTTATTGATTTTATTTCTAGATGTTAAATAGCTTCATAGCACTTTATTAATCTGAAGTATGAAAAAGTTGTGGTAGCATCATGTCTCAGAGCATGGGCAGTTTGAATGGGCTGCCTTCCCACAATAGGAAGGAGCACACACTTGGGCAGCTACAGCATCTTACTCTGTCTTCAGGATTTAAAACACAGTGAGAGTTCAACCCCTGAAATTCTTCTTTTGAGTTTTCTGATAAGCAAGTAGCACTTCACACAAGCCCATTGTTAAAAATCACTTGCTGTTTGGTGGTTTAAGAAATACATAAGTGTATTCTGCCCATCTAAAAGCCATCTGTTACAAAAAATAATCAAACCTCCTTTTTTCTTGTACATTTGTGTCATTCTGTGAATCAGAAGCATTTTATATACTAAGGGCAATGTGCTTTGCTTTTGGAATTCCTGAGTTTCACTAAAACCCTGGGGCATAGTTGGTTCAGGAGACCTGAGGTGACCTGTAAATGGGAGCTGCTGTGTGTCCCTTTGCTGCTTAGCAAGATCATTTTAAAAAGAAAGTGAAATACAGTGTCGAGATACAATATGATAACATTTTAATCCAAAGAGAAAAGCAGTATTTTTATAGTAGTTGACCTCTTGGAAAGCACATTCAGACATTATTTCTCAATAGCTTTCCTCTGAGAGGAAGATGGGCAGTTTCCTCATTTGTCAGTGAACAAATTTGAGACAGAAAAAACAAATTAGGTGACTTTCCTGAACCCAAAGAAACTCCTTATGCAAGCAGGACGAGAGCTGAAGAGTTCCTATACAGCATTGGCAGGCACACGGCTTTGAACGCTGAGCTCTCTCTGCAGGCAGGAAAGGTGTAGGAGAAAGTAGTATTTTTTTTGCAGATTGTTTTGCTTATGAGAATGTGCTGCCTCGTGTGTGAACCAGCCTTTCCACTCTTCCAGGACTTCAAATAAAGTCTTAGTTTTTCTCCTAAATCCCAGTGATTGACTGTCTATAAACACACTGACAGTCTTAAAAATAATGATGAGAAACCTGCTCACCGTGCGTGTGTGTGTTATGTCCAACAGAAAGATGTTAACACTTTGTTTAAGCAGCTGGGCTGCCGTCTTACTGGGCTTCCCTTCTTTGGGCTTCCCCAGCCTTCTCGTGGGATCTCTTCTTTCAGTTTAAGGCGGCTTAAAATTAATTAAGAATCTTTATGGGCATTGTCGTGAAGTTGGATTAATTTTTAAAATCTGAACTATTTCAACCTCTCCTGTAGAGGAGGTGTGAATCTCTTTCCTCTTTGTTTCTCTGTGGATGCAGTAAGATAATAACCCTCCCCTGCCTCTGCACTGCAAAGTCGTGTCTGTTCAGAGCAGCACATCCCCGGGGCAGCGTAGCACCGAATGCAGCCGGAGCTCTTGCAGTGAAAATTATCACAAGTGCGAGGGCTTATTTTACTGCACCGCTTCTGATGATGCTTTTTTTTGGAATTGCAGAAGGGTTGGCAAGAGCATTATCCTTTGCACAAGCCGAGGTTCAAACCTGGAGTTCTGGGTCAAGATGGCAATGCCTCTAAAAGAAACAAGAGTTTAATTTCTTTAGGGGAAGGCGGGCTTCTTGCCTGCTAGTAAAATACCCAGCACCAGGTTTTAGGTTAGCCGCCAAACCAGCCGCTCTCGGCTACTCTGCTCCCTGGTCGTGAAGCAAGTGTTGCTCTTCACGGGCAAAGGTGCAACCGTATCTCCCAGATGCTGGAAGCCTGGGACCGTGGGCTTCGAGGCCAGTGATGTCCAGGTCCCTCCCCACACTCGAATATTTCAGCTAAGCCCCCTGCTGCCTGCCTCCTACGGGGGATCGTTAGGAGCCAGAGGGGATGGCACGGCCCTTCTCTGCCTGAGCGCACGCAGACGGCTGCGGAAAACTTAGGACTGTTGGAAGTTTTTATATTTTTGAAGAATACACTCGGCTGTTCAGTTGTGCTAAATCCGAGGGACAGAAGTTTCACACGCTGTCGCTTGGAGAAAGGTGGTTTGTGCGCGGCTTTCCCTGCGCTGCTGGCGGCTGCGCCTGCTGCGGGGCAGCCACGGCCTGCAGAATAAAGGCGAGCGCTAAAAGGGACGGCAAAGTAGCTCTTCAAGTGCCCCTGCTTCTCCTCGATGCTTCCTCTGTGCTGCTGTTTCGTCGCCTCCTTGTACTTCTGATGGAAGAAAAATTGCCGTGCTTTACTGCCGGTGGGGCGTTGGGCGGAGGGCTGCTGCTAGCTTGTGTTGATTGTGTGAGATGCAAAATTAAGTTCTTGCATCAGTTGGGAATTTTGTGGAATTTTCTGCCATTTGACAGTGTTTCCAGATGGAAAGGAGCAATTTGTTTCTGTACAGTGCAATTTTCATTTACTTTGAATGAGTTGGAGGCTGGGGGGGCGGGTCTGGTGTTTTGTTTTCAGTAGCATGAAGACAGATGTTCTTTCCACTGGACGATCTGGAAACTTTTTCTCCTCCCGCAGTTCTGTTATAGGTGTGCGTCTTCTGAACAAAGACAAATTCCACTGGAAGTGTTATAAAGTTAGTTGCATTTTTACTTATTCTAACGATTCCTTATTTTTCTAGCACGGTAGGTTAGAAATGTGTTAAAGCTAGTGGTAAAGTAATTTATGAAGGGCAGATGGAGTTCAAAAGGTTCAAATATACAAGTTCAGTTCCAGCATCATTTGGATCTTCACACCTCAGTGTCCCAGTAGAGAAACTGGATACTAAGTTTTTACAGTTTCTACTGTAAAAACTGAGCCCTCCAGAACTTTTAGGAACTAATGGATTTTGCAGAAATGATTTGACTACCCTGGATGTCCATTAGCTATTTTGCTTTTATGTCTTTGCTGGAAACATAAATGGCTTTTACTTGCGCTTTTTTTTACTAGTTATATGTTTGCAAAGATGTCTTTTGTATTACAGTAGCCGGTAGGAAAAAAAGTGATGTACTCAAAAATTGTAGGAGCATTTAATCATAGTATATCCTAACTAGAATTTAAACTGTGTGTTGTCAAGAAAGTTTCCATCTGTAGCATACCAATCCCAAGCTGAATACATGCAGTTTTAATCTTCTGACTCTTGAATTCATTCTTTTTTGTGTGGCTTTGGTGGTGTTAAAATTTAATCCTCAGCAGTTACATTGTATTAAGTCTATATTTCTCTCCTTTCCTTGCATGTCCTACTTTATTACTGGCAACAGATTTTGAAATATCCTGAAAAATCTGTGTTTTCTACTATGGGGATGACCTTTCTATCAAATGGGTAGTTTAAGAAAGTTTCCTCCCCTATTTGTTGACCTGTTAGATGCTTAGCAAAATTAATTCCCTGTAATATACTATTCCTATTAGAAGTGTGAATCTTCGATGGTCAACTCTCAGAAATATCTTGCTGATATAAAATAATTTTTCATCCAGTTATGTTCATCATGTCACTCATGCAGGCTTTATCTATATTATGTCACAAATGAGAATAAATTCTGTACGCTAACATGTGGTGTGCAGCAATGTATGCCATTTTCTGTATTGCAAAATGGTACAGAATAAGAAAAAAATAGATAAATCTGTAGATTTTCAGGTGCATGTGACAATTTTGGAAATTTTACACATGGAAAAGCTGGCTGGCACAACAGCAGAGGAATGATAAAACCACTTCCATTTTGGAAGAGCGGACATAGGATGGGTGTGTTTCTCCATGTCAAACAAGCACTTAGAAGGAAGGTAATGTTGGAGCTGGTATGGTTCACCACACAAGGGTTTTATTTTGTGGTGGAAAATCTAATCTTTCCGAGACCATTTCTCTTGGGTATAAGTCTGAAGTCTGCTTTATATTGGGAGATTGGCATGAAATCCACAGCACTTAAGAGGATAAAGGCCTCTGTCTCCAAAATGTACATTTTTTTTGGAACTATAAAGGCAGTGGAACAAGAAATGGTTTTAGGTATATAATGTTAAGATCCGACCCTGTAATCCTTTCTCAAGTAAAAATATGTTATAGATCAATTTTATCGATTCATACCTTTTTTTCCATGTGTTTCAGAAGATTCACTTAAAAAAAGGAAACCTTTCACGTTTAACTAGTGATTAAAGAATTAAAAAAAGATTAATTATAAGGACCTACTCCAATTAGCCAGAATGATGTCGTCTTCTGGTTCCTCTGCAGGCATCATTTGATTTCTGGAAGCACAGAAGACTTTAAAAAAAAAAAAAAAAGAAAACAAAACAAAACAACAAAACACAAAACCAAACCAAAACAAAAACCCACAAACATTTCTCTTACTGCCTTTCTCATTTACACAGTCACTTTAAAGGACCCCACAGCCTTTCATACCTTAGGAATTTGGGTAACTCTTCAGCTTCAAGATATACTGAACATTATTTTGAGAAATGTTGTGTTTGCTAAATAACATGCAATACTTGAAGCCCTTCTCTCTTTTCTTGAAATACTACAGAAAGATGGATAATAGATATAAGCAAAGCATGGGAACAAAACAGGGCAGGGTTAGGAGGGGAAGAACTGGGTGAGAGAAAAAGAGGTGATGCAGGGAGCTGCTGGGCGGGGGAAGGGAAGATGGCTCTCTGCAAATAGATGTGTTCAGTTTTCAGTTTACAGGCAATGGGACAGAAGAAACAAAATCAAGAGGAGGAGGAAGAGTTGAAAGGAATGAAAAAACAAGAGACTTATTCAGTAAGTAAATTAGAAATTATATCAGATAAATGGATGAAAACAAGAGCAGATCCCTGACTAATGCAAGTTGTTCTGGCACCACTGCCTTCAAATCAGTTTACACCAGTTCAGGATCTGGACAGACTGGCTGAGTTGAGACCAGAGACTAATTTTTAATCTGGGCTTCCTTGCTTTGTATACTTAAATTGGACATATTCTAACATCATAAATTAATATGCAACAAAAATAGAATCAGCACGGGCACTCACAAGGAGAGAAGAGTGATAAAAAAGATCGACTGCCTGGTGCTCAGTGATCTTTGATGTCAGAGGATCACAGCTGTTAGTTTATCAGTTATAATGAACATTTATACGGCTACTTTTATCTTGAATGGGCTAGATATTCTGGCTGATGAATATTGACGTGATTGAAGTGAGATTACATAGATTTTAATCAGTTGAGGTCTGGCTCAATGTATGCAGTTGTAATTTGCTTTGTTCCACCTTAATGTATAAGATTTCTTGCAACAGTATTAACAGTTTAGGGGAACCATACGTATTTAGAGAATATTTGAATACTTTGATATCTATCTATCCATCCATCCATCCATCCAAACCACCCAGCACAGGCAGCCACACTCTGCTTTCCAAGAAGCACCATGGCCTCTGACATTTTAGAAGTCAGTTTTACTCCTCAGGGAAAAAAAAAAAAAAAACAAAAAAACAAAAAAAAACAAAAAAAAAAAAAAACAAAAAAAAAAAAAAAAAAAAAAAAAACCAACATACCAGTATTTCTTCTGTTTGCATTAAGCTATGGGGAAAGCAGCACGTTGCAAATCACCAGGCAGCTTTGTGCCTGGCCCCTCATGGTTTACTGAGCTAAGGTCCCTTACCAACATATATAAGGAATTAAGAATTTTCTCTTTCCTAAATGACTCATTTTGACGGTCAGTTTGCTGGCCAAACGCTGATACGCTTTCATTCAAATGTAAAATTTAGAGCCAGTGATGTGCAGCATATTGCTGTGGGATGCATTTTTTTGTCTGTGTAGCAGTGTAATGCTTTGGCCATCCCTCCTCCATTTCTGTTAAGGCACCTCCTGAAGTCAGACTTAAGCTGCTTTTAAAATGAGCCAGGATCACTTGGATGTGGGTGAGGTGCAGCAATTTGGGAATTGCTCCCAGCTGGTGGAGAAATGATTTCCAAGCAAGCTGGGTGGCTCTAACTGCTCTTCCCAGTAGAAATAAGCTAAAATATATAGAAATTGTTGCTTTGACAAATAAGCTAATGAGCCACTCAAGTTGCTTTATGTATTGAATGTAGTTGCTTGACAGTTATTATTATTTTCTAATTATATTAAGTTTATAAATTATTAACAAGTGTTTAATTTCAGTCCAAACAGATCCAACAAAAGGGATTTGTACAGTTATGAATTGCAGCAAAATACAAAGTTGTTGAGCTTTTAGTATATGCAAACTTGGAGACCCTGGTTATTTCTCCCTCTTTCAACAGCCAGTCATGAAACTTTCTTGACCTTTTCACCTTTAAACTTTATTTGAACTTGGAAAGAAGACTTGTGAATTGTGAAGGGGAAAAAAAAAAAAAAAAAAAAAGGTGGGGGCTGGGGGGGAGAGGGTCTGATTATATGTTACCGTAACAGTAATACTAGCAAAATAATCCTCCTCTTGTGCATGAGTGTCTGCTACTGCAAGCTTCGGGGTAATAAGCTCACATGACATGCCTGGAGGCTAATGCTGGCCTATGCTTTTTTTTTTTTTTTTTTTTTTTTTTGGTACATATTTAAACAAAGACTGATTATCCAAACAAGAATTTGGACTGCATCAACTGGACCAGTTAAACTATAGTTAGTAAAACTTGGCGCCTTCAGAGCTTGGAATGTTACAATTACAGCTGGATCCTCATTTGTTAGGCAGCCTTACAAAATAATAAAAGTGGAGATTTTTATCTTTATAGGACATAGCTTAACTCTTTGAATACAGAGAACTAAGTGCCAAATATTACAGTTACTGATTAGACATACTATTCCGGGCCAATAAACACGATTAAACAGTTGTATCCAAGCTCTATAGGACGCAGGGCGAAGGGAGCTGCTTTGCCAGCACTCGGATAGATGCTGTGGCACTTGTAGTGGATATTCATTATCTTCCAGGATTTCTCTTGAGATAAGGAACAAGAACACAACAAGCAATTTGTTGTTTGATCTTCCTTATCTAGCTGCTGTCTTTTTGACAGTATTGCTGTGTTTTTATTTGAATTTCTCTTCTTTTTGTATTTCCTGTTGCTATGAAAAAAGCTTGTGTCTGTGTAGGATCTAGATGGTCCCTGGAGTTGGTCTGATTTTCACCTCTCAGTTGAGCTGGAGAACTTTCTTCAACACTGGCTTCAAATCATAAGCAAATTTTTCACTAACCCACCCCCCCTCAAGGCCTACGAGGTTGCCTCTCCCCTTTGCTGTCCTCATGGGGCTGGCAGGTGGCGGGGGATGTGCAGACAGAAGTTACATTTCAGTTTAACAAACTGCTGTTGACCATTCCAGAGTTGTTCTCTCATCCTACACAGAGGGATTGACTTTGATTAGTCACTTGCAAAGCCAAACTTTGGCTTTCTGGTTGTGTAATATATAGCTCTGGTTGCCAATCAGAAAATGGAAGTTCTTTTCCTAAAATTAAACAAAGAGTCTTTATCATTAACCCAGAACAAATCAATGCCTTTGCATTAATTCACATGGAGCAGGGCCAATTTACAGCTCTCCCTGATCTGCCCGGTGGTTTTTTTGTGCATAGGTTTATCTCAGTTTCTTTTTTAAGAAAGTGTTTATTGTTTGCATTTTCTGAAAACCTATTGAGTAATAATGATTGAAACTTAAGCAATCATGACTCTTCAGAATGTTTGCAAGAGCCCACCAGCTAGATAGTGTACCAGGCTGTACCAGGGGTTTTATTTTTTTGTCTTTGCACAGACTAAAAGCTTGCATTCATTAAAGTGTGAAAAAGTTACTTTCCTTTATTGTGACAGTTTTACCATGTTTCAGTGTAGTTTTGCCTCAGTAGTGACAAATAATATGGATAATATGTAATTGCTGCAATCAAGATACCGTAGGAGTTATGAGAGCAAGGGGTAGGTAATTTTGAATGGCAGGACATGAGGTTTCTTGCATTGAAAACTGAGAAGCTGAAGATTTTTAATCAAGATAAACTTGCAGATTCGTAAGGTGCACCTCAGTGCGGGAGAAATGATACCAACTGGAAATAAGAAAGACCTAAGGAAAAATTGTGAGTTAATGTTTACTCTTTTATTACTATTCTAATCGAATGACTTTACAACATGACCTTTTAAATTGTAGCTACTTTAAAAAGGAGCATTTGTGTGCCGCAGGCCTGTGGAAAGCGCCGG